TTGTTCTCAAAAGATGCAGATTTTCATTTTCAATTATTATCTCAATTCACAGATTTGACAAAACAATTTGGAGTCATGCTTTCTCAGAAGAAAATGGTTATTAGAGTTTTTGAAATTGATTTATGGGGAATGCATAATAAAGATGGTCAATATTCTGGACAAGCACATGTTTGTCAGGAATTTTTGAAATTTTCTGACATAGATCTCTCCAAAAGGGAGGTTTGACAATTTTTTGAAATTGTAAACTATATAGCAGACTTTGTTGAACATCTATCTCCTATTATCAGACCATTACAAAACATGCTAAAGAAAGATGCACCATCATGGTCTTCAGAACAAACATAATTAGTTAAGAGGATAAAGTAAAAGTACAAGAACTCCTAGCTTTATCTATTTTCACTGATGGAAAGCGAATCTTGCAAATTGATGCAAGTAATCTATATTGGAAGCAGTTATTTTGAAGGAAAAAGATTGAAAAATAACTATTTGTTGATATAAAAGTGGATCATTCTCATAAGCAGAAAAATATTGTCATTTGCCTTTCAAAGAAATTTTGGTAGTCAAGCGAGGTATAGAGAAATTCCAATTCCAACTCATTGGTTATAAATTTTTGGTTGAGATGAACATGTCAGCATTTTCTAAAATACTCTCATTCAAACAAAAACAAATCTCAATTTCTCGACTACTTAGATGGGCAGAATGGTTTTCAAAATTTGACTTTGATGTCAACCACATAAAGGGACAAGCTAATCTTTTTTCAAATTTACTCACTAGACCAAATTTATATCCAACCATTCCCATAATCTGCATGATAAGTCCTTCCTCCTCTTTACTTCCAATTCCTTTCATCAAGTTGAGTCTATCCCCCCACAACTAAATACCCTCATCAGAGACAAAACCCTTCACTCCATAGCCAAAGAACTCATGTTCAAATACTAGTCCATGGTCATTAGGTAGACTGGGATTGAAACACTTGGTGGTTTTGGATTTCATTCAGACTATCATATTTTCCACTTTGTTTTATATAATTCCACATCAAGCAGTTTCAAAATTTTCTAAAGAATTACTTTGTTTGTTATCGTATTTGTTGAAACTTTATCAAATTAGAATTTATTTTAATGTTAGTGCTTCTTTTGAATGATTTAAAGAAATTAGTTTTCGAAGTTTTCATGAAGGAGATCCATTTCAAGAATCACATTGAGATAGAAATTTTTCGAATGGTTTTATCCTATTTTTTATTGGATAAAATGTTTAAAGCATTTTATTTAAAATTTAAAGACCTCAGAATTACCCAAAAAAATGTTTTTGTAATCTAGATTTTCTAGAGACAAGGTTATTTTGCAGATACAGGTACCTACTAGCATTTTCCCCATGTCAAAGAGCATGCAGTCCAACATTTCAATCTATACCAAGATTAGAAAAAATATCCAAAAGAGTTCTCAGAATTTCAATGAAGAATAGCTAAAATCAATCAAACTGTTCATCCTCAAATCTAGCCAGACATAGAAGATGATGCTCCATGGAAAATTTTGCCCCTAGATTATGCTTCAAGACTCAACAAGACATAAAAAATTCAGAGAAGCACAAGTCAACTCTTTGGACCGATCTTTGGATACTATCCATTTGACTCTTGGAAAATTGACAAGACACATTGGAATCAACTTTTCCTTAGGCGACCACATTAGTGCTTTCGAAAAACATCCAGATATCCAAAGACATCACCAGACGGACAACAACTTTGTGAAAAACTTTGGAATGAATTTGAAGAAAAAATAAAAAATAATCCTAAATCAATGGACATAGACAAACTAGGACCGAGTAATCTAAACAATCCAAAATCAAGTTAGAGACAGAGATAAATTACAATAACAGTATTTTTCAGGACCCTCAATACCCATAAGAATATGAAATACAACCATATGATTTTAATCCCACATATTCAAATAATCTTAAAAAATTGGAAGAAAAATTTTCAAAGAAAAACCTGATCATAATAATTGGCCCTAGTAGAAACAGTAAGGACTTCCCTTTGATGACTCGGATATACCTGGCCGAGCAGCAAATTTTGGTACACCTTCATGACTCAGGCCACATAAAAAAATTAGTTTTATAAAGTATTTATCGTTTGTTATAAGTGCACTTTAGCAAATTCTTGCTTTTCAAAAGATGTTTTTTAATTCGCCATCGTATAAAATTTGTGCCTATGTCGAACGAATTATTACCCTACTTCAATAAAAATAGTGGTGAGTCATTTGTCTTCTATAAAATTATCGTCCTTGTGTCGACTATAGTGCGGTGAGTGGTATACATTATGGATCTCCTCATCTATATAAGGAGCTTCCTTCCTTCATTGTAGATCATCTCAAATCTAGTTTTGTTATTAAATAAAAATGTTTGTTTCTTATATGCATGAGTTCTGAACTTTTATAGACGACTGTGATAATCTTAGGATGAATAGTAAAAATAAGATCTAAGTAGTTTCATAAATATGCTCTATAGTTGTCTCTTTGAGGATCTTCTGCATCAGAAAATAATACTATTGATCAAAAGATTCGACATGGAGGTATGGTGATTGAAAGTATTTGATAAGTTTCTCAATTTTATTGAAAAACAAAAAATAGAATAAGAATATTTATTTGAGCTTTTACAAATTGACTGAAATGGAAACGCTAGGAGCATTTCCAAAAGATTTTCTGTTTTTAAAGATCATATTCTATAATTTAGAGAGTATCTATAAATTTAGAAAGAAATTTTTTAAGCATTCCAACAGGCTCTTTTATATGTAACACTTAATTTTACTATCCTTAAAAAGTATTTATTATTTTTCCTAAGTTTCCCTCCAAATTATTATATTATTTTCATTCATCGAAAGTTGAAAAACTTTGGATTCATTTAATTATAAAGAGTGAATTTGATTTTTCAAATTTAAAGAGTCAAATCTACCCTCTAAATTAAAATGTGAATTTAAAGAATCTCTTATAGCATAATTTTAAAGGTGGGCTCTTTAAAATAGAGAGCATCTTTTGAAAATGTTCTAACACTTTAAAAATTTTCAAGCAACCTTGGCCACTATTCTAAATTGTAGGTAAAACAATTTTCTTTATTTTCTTCGAATGGTCTATTGAAAAAAATAGGTCTATCTTTGAACAATATTTTTTCGATTTGTTCATATTATACCTTTAGCCCCTGTTTGGTTTAAATAAAAATGAATTTTTTTTGTAGATTTTAATAAAAATTAAAGAAATGAATAATTGAAAAGTTAAATAAAATTGTGATTCTATAAAACGTGTGATTAAAAATGAATTTAAAGAAAATTAGATTTTTGAAAAATGAGAGACAAACAAGGACTTGAGCAACCCAACTTTCTCATAAAATTTTGTAAAAAAAAATAAAAATGGCTAGCTGTCACATTCTTGGCTAGGCAAAAATATAAGCTCCCTTTTAAAAAGCATAAAAAGACAACCCTTCTTTTTATTTTTATTATTATGAATCGATGATTGTGTTGACCTTATTCTTTGGCCACAGATTAATATTACATTGCAAATAATACACACACACATTAAATAATATATATACACATCGTGTCCTCTTTGGAACATTTTTTTTGTAAATTCTTTTTGCAAAGTGGAAAACAAGTGGATTATTAAAAGGTAGAATACTCCCATATAAAAAATCAATTAAAATTTTGATTCTTATTTTCTTTTGCAAGATTGTGCGTATGATGAAACCGTGACATCATGATGGCGAAACAAGAGTTCTAGAGAGAGAGAAAGAAGAGAGATTTATCCTCATTTTTGGTACAATTCACTCAAAAAAGTTTTTCAGTAGGCCCAAAAACGAACATGGGTTTATTTTGCGTGGTGGGGGTGCAATATAAGCTATTGACATCTTTCGACCAAATAAAAGTTTGAATGGTTGGTGGAAATAAGAGAGAGGGCAAAAAAAAGTGTTAGCGTAATTGACTTAGGCTTATTAAAGTGACGTAATTATAGTACAATATGTTTAAAGATCGAGAGGTCAATCAAATCTAGCTTAACATTTTGTGATTATTGAGTATTGGCAGGTTTGTATCTTCTTGTAGATTAGTGATTTGCTAATAGTGACAAAAATAATTTTGTATAATCGACTCTAAATTTGTTGTTATTGTTGAAGAATTACATTAATATTTTCACGTGTGCTAGGAATCTGGACCAGTTTCTTGATTCCTTTAGGATCTTTACTCAAGAAAATATTAAGAAAAAGGGAGAAATAAAAATAGAAAACAATAACAAAAAATACCAATTCCCTAATTCACTCCTTAGGATCCTCCTTAGGGAAAACAATAAGAATAATGGAGAGATTAAAATAGAAAACAAGAAAACAAAATAGAAACACCAAAAGTTTTGTCTTGGTCCGAATGAAGATAGCATTTCTCTTCTACCAAAAAAGATGGACCGTCTAATGAGGCTGCTATGAAATAGTTACTCATGGGTGGGGCATATCATGGCGAATTATTCGGAAAAAATTCAATTAACAAAAAAACGAAAAATGAACTGGCCGAAATTAGAGAAAAAGTACATACGATCAATACAAAATACAATCTCTCGCTCGTTCAAACCTTCGAGTACGCGCCAAGAGACTACATGACATCAGAGTCTCACTTCCAAGATAGCACATAATTTTCTATCAAGCTCCGCCCTGGATATCCTTGTGGTCTCCCCAGAGCTAGGAGACATATAAGAGGAAACTAGTTGCTAATCTTTACTCACAAATTTAATTTTCTAACAAGGATTGCCAAATTCTTACATTTTGGTACATCAGTGGTGAACTTACTTAATAAATAAAGCCACATCTAAAGTAAACCTCCGATCATGTTATCATCCAAATTTTCCAAATTAATTTTCGTTCAATTGACATTGAAAAAACATCCGAATTCTGCGTGCAGTTAAAATTGATTGTGCAACTATAATAAACGGTTTACCATTAAAGGCAAATTCGTGTAGTAAACACAGCATTCATCCTTGAAAAACAAATGGATAATTGGGTTTCCATAAATTTAATAAAGCAAAGAGCTTGAGGTGAAGATATTCAATGGTGCCAATTAAAGCTAAAATGCATATATACATGGCAATCTAGGTCATTATTGTTTTCCTTAAAAGCAGAAAGGCTTCTTCATTCTTGAATTCTTCTCTATCAGAATGAATGGTAGCATCAGTGGCAGTCAACCTTGCTTGGAGACTGACTGCTTCTGATGTTAGAGCTAGCTCCACCACGAGGCGGTGGTTTTGGTGGCAGAAAATAAATCAGAATCAAAATCCACCACCAAGAGCCGGCGCCCAATAATCAGCTCCATTAATGTCATTTCCCACGTGCTGAGTGCAAGAAACTGGAACCAAGCACAGCCCTCTACTTCTCAAGTCCTTCTGTCCATCTTCAGTATTCTATAATTATGTTAGCAGAAAATGAGACATTAGTTTAGATCAATTAGAATTTTTTAACGATATTATGAAATTTACGAAGACATTTGAAATCACAGATTAAGAAACAATTTCGATAAAAAAAAAAAAAAAAAAAAAGAGATATTGAGCAAAATCGTTTATATTAGTTAGGTTTCTTATGAAACTACTGTTACAGATTATTTCACCTAACAAATAGTTTGGCAAATTTTAATCAAGACATATAAACGTTGCACAGAATTGGAAGGGTCTGAGGCCGTTAACTTTTGAAAAGTCAAAAGTTATTTCTAAAATTAAGAAACTGTTTTTGAATATTTTTAAATAATTTTTGATAAATTTATTTATTTATTTTTCAGCATGAGCTTCCTCAAATTATTTTTATATAAGATGCAGAAATAAGAGCAGAATGTCGTTAAACGGGCCTCAATTGGAGTATCATAAAAACAAATTGAAATTGAAATCATAATTGTAATTATGGTCATAAAACAGATTGGATTATGAAACCATTGCATTTAATTAAATAAGAAAAATAAGTGAGCACCTCCTCATAAGCTCCACTCCCTTCCATGCTAACATCATTCAAGAACTAGATGAAGAAAATTCATAAAGAAGATAAATGTCATCAAATTAGGGCTGGCATTAAGAATATTACTTAAAAAAAAAAAAAAAAAAAAAAGAACTGTTATTAGCAAAATTAAGAAGGCGTTTGTTTCTCATTTTTGCAAAAATTTGAATGAAAAATATGGTCGTCATGGGCCCCACACAATAGATGAAAATTTAAATTTGGTGACTTGATGTGATGTATAATGATTATATTTTTATTTTAATGGAGAAAGAATGAGAAACAAACAGGGGTTTAGTTCATAAATCTGGGAAACTTTTTACAGAGGCAACTTTTTCTACTTCAAAACACTTGCATTTTGCTATAAATAACCAATAATTTATTGAAAAATATTATTTGCAATTGCTCACTAATGAAGTTGTCCTATGTGGCATACATGCATCAAATCACTAACCGTCACATTATGCCATACATCAAATCATTTACTACTACATATATATCATGCGGGGTGACTACAGTACTGAACAGCTGCAAATAGTATTATTTTAATTTAATTTAAAGCCTCTTTTGAGGAAAGTGAGGGATCCAATAAAGCATACCTGACCAGACTCTTCTGGAGATAAACAATCCCTTTCTTGAACCTGGAGCAAAAAAATTAGCTCATCGTGAGTTTATTCAAATAAAAATTAAAAAAATTACAGTGTGTGTGAGAAAGAGAAGAAATATTGGTCTTTCATGGGAAAATGTGAAATGCGCATGTTTAGGTACTTACAGATTGTTGGTGACCCATGCTCCTCGATGCATTGCGCATGTAAGGAGAACTCAGTGCCTGCATGATTTTCGAGAAATTGTAGAACTCTTTTTGTTGTTTGAACAGAATATTATGGATGAAACAAAGCATATTTTACCTCAATTTGACCCTGAAGGAATCTGATGTAACCAATGGCTTCTGTCAAGACTGAAGCAGTGTCAGTCTGCAAAAGAGAAAGAAATATGCCAGAACACAGCTCAATCTCAAATTATTTTTTTTCCCAAAATTTTCTTTATAATCTTAAAAGACAACCTTAGATGGGATGATGATAAAGTAAAAAGAAAGGTTCTTTTCAGTTTTTTACTGGTTTCATCTTAACTAGATTAATTAAATGTTGCTGCAGATTTATTCCTTGAATTGAGTAGTTAATGGAGACTGGAGAATCAAGAATGCAATTAGTTTACCTTTCCAAATGGAGAAACGATTTGGTGAAGAGCTGTTATTCTATCCCCTAATTTCTCCTTTCTCACCTGTTTTTTTAGTAATATTCTTAAGAATTTATGCAAGTTTTGTGAAGAAATAAATGAAGCCCCAATAATAATTTGTAAAAGCGAAAGAGATTATTCCTGACCTTCAAAGCCGGTTGACTGGATGACTGTTGAACCTTAGGCTTCTTAGATACCCCACCAATGCTCGTGCTGTTGCACTTTTACAAAAGGAACAAAGGGAAAATTTTACAGTCAACAAACCATGAACAAATCTAACAGCTATGTAGCAATGAATTGAACGAATCGGAGCAAAATAATTCATGTGGTCGACACCAAATTTGTTGGATAAGTCTTTTGTAGGCTGTTATTTTGACATTTTGTAAACTTTTCAAGCAAATTAATCATGATACTTTTGGGGCATGCTAAGAAAATAATAGCTTTTCTTTTCTTTTTCCTTGTGGATTATAATCACTGATAAAGCTTCCAACCTCCGATGAATGATCTAGATGTTGATTCTTGCGGTCGTAGTCCATCTTGGCGCCGGAGAAATTCAAGATATTGTTGCTTACACTTGTAATAGAAGAAGTAGGGGATGATTCTGGAATGACTTGAGGCCAACAAGAAGATCTCGAAGCTTGAAATTCATCTTCTACATTACCATAAAGTTGGTTTGTTTGTGCAGTTTCTTGCTTTACATCAACAACAGGAATACTAAAAGATGGGTTCAGAACTTGGACTTCCCAATTCTCCATTTTCTTCTGTTGCTGAAAAAGACTATTACCAAACTTTTCGTCTTCTTCAGTACCAGCCAATCCGCTCCTGATCAACCATAACTTCAAGTGTCAAATTATTACACCCAAATGGCCAAATCTTACACGGACACAAACACACAGAGCTAGTTGCAGTATGCATATAAAGGTGCACAGATCAAGAAGAAGGTTTAAATGCTAAGTAAAATGGGAAAATAAAGAAACTC